CAACCTAAACATGATACTAGAAAGCAATTAATAACATCCTAACATGATACTAGGAATAATATAATATAAGCATGATTTCTATATCAAAAGAATAACAAAGTAATTAAATTACTTACTTCGATGCCTCGTATCTCTTTCTAATAACAAAATACACGCGTTAGCAACTTCAAGGAAAATATAAATCAAACAATTAATTTAAATAATTAAAATAGAGATTTGGGACCAAACCCTCAGAAATTATCAACCTTTCACGTCTAGGACGAAGGCAACTTCGAACTTGGCTAGGTGTGTCTAGAACTTGTGAATGTGGAATTTTGTAAAAGGAGAAGGTTTAGAAAAAGGGAAAAAGAATAGACTTCTAGCTTTTAGATAGAGAAAGAATAGAATTAGATGGTTGTGAATGAATCAAAACGGGGAAATACGACCCCTATTTATAAGAAAATAGTCCGGAATCGATAGAATTATATCAGAATTTGATTCGGAATAAAACGGATCCTTGTCGCCAGCGACATAGCCCAGCGCGAAACGACAAGGATCACGCATGGCGACAGGCTCTGTCGTTGGGCGCTGGTTTAATATAAAACGCGCTTTTGTACGGAATCCTCTTCTTAATATAATTAAGCAATTAAAACTCCGTTTTAATTAATTTTAAATCAGATTTTATCAAAATAAAACACTTGTTTTATTTCAAACCAAATTCATTATTTTCTAAAAGATTAGGTATCAATCCTAATGCTATTAGAACTCAAAATAACCTTCTAGACTCTTCTAGAAGATTATAATCAATCCTAATAATTTTAGGAATAATAATTAATGGGCCTTCCACTCGATCATTGGGCCATAAAACCATTTCAGACCCAAATTAGTATTGATTGGACCATAACTTCCTCATTATTCATTGGAATTGAGCTTATAATATAGCATTGGAAAGCTCTTTACGAGTCTAAACCAACTACACTATTAATGGACCCTTATCATGGACTAAGCTAAATTGGACTGGCTATTTCCATAAATAGAGAAGATTTTCAAAAACGGAAATAAAGTTTTTTTATCAAAACTAACACATCACAAGACTTTTCACACTCTCACTTCATTCGATAATCAAGCAATGTCAAAAGTATTCATCACTGGGTTTGGTTTTTGGGGAGACACATTTGGGTGTCTAAACACATGTTTTTAATCAACCCCTTAGTATATTCATTCAAACCCCAATAAATGACCTCACAAGCCTCCCACAAGGAACAACCATGGAAATTAGAGAAGTCTTCAAACCTATTAGTGGTCGTTTGGTTCGCACGAGGGAATCAAAATGGAATGAACAAAGGGAAAGGAGAAGAATGGAATGAAAATACCCTATTTTTGCTTTGTAGTTTGTTTTTAAAACAAAGGAATCATTCCCACCACCACACCACCACCACCACAACCACCACACATTTCATCTTTCTCAGCCGCGTGAGCCTCGACTACCCCTCACCCTCGCCCCCACCGGTTTCCCCCTCCCCTTGTCAGCGCCGGCCACCCCCACCCAGCCTTCCCCACACTCAGTCCTACCCCGACTCCTACACTCAACCCCACCTCGACTCCGACCTCAAACAACCCCCAAAAACCACCCCCTCCTCGGAAATACCCCTTCCCCCGTTTTCCGGCACCCCTAGCCCTAATTTCGCACCCAAAATCTCATAAAACCCAAAAAATCCGAAACCCTAAAAAACGGTTTTCTGGGTTAACGGGTTTTTGGGTGGGGAATTAAAATTGGGGGGTGGAAAAAAGGGGAGGGGGCATTTTCGAGCAGGGGGGTTGATTTTTGGCGGTGGTTTGGGGTGGGGATGACAGTTTCGGGGGAACGGGAGATCGGGGCTAAGGGTGGTTTTTGTGGGGGAGGGGATGCAGCGGTGGTCAGGAGCGGTGCAGCGGTGGTCAGGGGAGGCTCGGCGGTGGTCAGGGTAGGGGCGGCGGTGGTCTGGGCTGGTTTTCCGGTGGTGTTTGTAGGTGTGAAGGTGGTGATGTGGTGGGTTGGGAAAGGGAATAGGAAAGTCTATGGGTGGGGAATGGAGTTGGAAGGATTTGGGGTAATGAGGAGGGTAAAGGGAATGATTAAAAGTGCTAAACAAACATCAACAAAGGGAATCGAGCCAGTTGATTCCCATTCCCTTTCCTGATTACCCCCAACCAAACAGCCCTTTAAAGTAAACCCAAAAGGGTTCATATTCAAATTGAGGCAAAGAAGAACAAGACGTGAATTTTGGACAAATTGATCCATGACTCAATGAAGACAAACAAATAACAACCGAACAACAAAGCTCAAACTCTATACACAAGCAAAAGAAAAACAAAAAGAAAGCAAACCAAATGAAAATTATACACAAAGGCCTAGACTCAATAAGGTAATAACACGATATTAGAAGTACTCCCCGGCAACAGAGCCATTTTGATAAAGGTTATTTTAGGTCATTAAATTCTAAAACACCTTCAATCAAACAAATATTTATAGTACCTAAATCTAACACTAAACAAGAGTCTAGTATGTGGCAAGTCAAGGGTTGATCCACGGAGAACGACTAATCACCACAATCATTACCAATAACTAAACTAGGCCAACAAGAAGTAAGAAACGAGAATTAACAATACAAAACTAGACTAGACTAAGACAAGAGCTAAAACTCTAAGGAAATGGTTAGGCATAGCATTCACTCAACCATAAACAAAGCATAGAATTGAATCGAAATGCAAAGTAAGCAACTCATGTCAATGATTTAAAAGCACAACCTAACCACCTATCGAGGTCAATTACTTTCCCAACTCATCCCTAGCTTACACTATCGTCATAAGTCATGTGAATCGGGGAAAAATTCAAGACAATCATTCAATGGACATTTCTAGATCACGCTATCGCCATAACCTAGTTCAATCCACCGAACTACAACAAATGACGGGCCCCTCAAATGCAATAATTGTTAATACCTGGAAAACAAAGCATTTTAATCACAAACAAGTTAATTACAAACTCTAAAACATGCATAAGATCCAACTATACCACAACCATCCCCTTAGTTTTGGAACTACTCACTAATCATGCTAATAACAAGATTACTCAACAAATTAACAAGATAAGCATCAACATGATTAACAAGCAATCAACAAAGAAAAAATTAAAATAAAGCAATAAAAATAGAGAAGAAAAAGTAAGTATTGCTCATTAATTGATAATGAATGTCTACAGACAAGATGATCAATCTTCCTCTTCAAAATCCAAGCTCATCAATGGTGAAACCCTCACTTTCTCCCTCTAAACTACTCTAATACTAAGCTAAACCTAGATAGAGAAGCTAACCTAAAAACTAGAGAAAATGATCTTAAAAGAATAGTTGATCCGTACAAAGCCAAGCCTCGGGTAATTATAGAGCCGCTAAAATAAGTCGAACTGAGGTTTGGCGCGCGCCCGCGCTTGTGTGGGTATGCGCGACTTGTGCTGCTGGGTGTACGCCCATGCACGACCAGCGCACATCCCGCGCGAAGGTTTTGCCTTCTTTCTTCATTTGTGCCCTCTGTGTGCGCCTGCACATAGGTTTGCGACTTTGCGCTCCAGCGCACCTCGCTTTCTTCGTATCATCTCTTTTAATTGCTTGGATTCTTCTTTGCAATTCTTGACTTCAAGTACCTAAGCACAAACACCAAGGGAAGCAATAAGGTAGGGCAACGGTGCAAACACGCAATAAAGGCAAGAATTCAGCACATACGTTATTTTATAAAAAAAACAAATCGAGATATGAATGCACGCATTATTTGAACAAAACAACTATAAACAGCCTAACACAAACTAAAACAAAGCAAAAACATTACCCTAAGATTGACATGAATGTCACTCATCACTACCACCAAGAAAAAACCCTCCAGCGCCAGATTACCAATAGCAGGACAAGAGGAGACGAAAACGGCGGATTAGTCGTGAATTTGAACCACCACCACAAGCAAGGTGGAAAACAAGTTGTTCTACGTGTGTATCAACCGGAGGTTGTTAACAAAGTCGGTTAATAACCGTATCATGAAAATTGGGGCCTTTCACAACTAGTCGGACCTTGTAAGAGAAAGACTCACCGACAATCGAGAAGGAAGACCTCTTACTCCAATCGCCGGCGGTCCGCCTCATGGCACACAGGAGAAAAGCTGATTTGTAAAACCTAGGGGCTTGAACTCTAGTTTTTGGGGTTTGTTACTCGCGCGTGTGAGGCGTGTTTAAAAGAATCTTGGTGTAAGAACTACTCACGGAGAGAGTGATTAACAACCATTTTTATAAACCAAACATAGGGTATTGATTTAAACGATCTATACTTAGCATATAATAACACAAATATCACACAAAAATAGCGTCACATGTTACAGTTACCATTTAACTTTTTTTTATTCTTTTTTTATTATATTATAATTATCAATAATGTGAATTCATTATACGTAATCAACATTATTTCTTGCACATTCCCATTAAATTAAATATAGAACATATAATGTTAAATAGTTAAAGACTCTAAGTATTCCGTAACTTGCATAATTTAAATAACAAAATGAGGTGTTTAATTTTCTTAAAAACACACCTCAAAAAATAATCATAGAAAATAACTCGTTCAATGCAATGACCAAAAGGCTACTTTTAAATCCATAACACAAACTACCTAAATTTTGTTAACAAAATACCCTATTGATTTAATGAATGGAAAAATTGAAACTAATCCCACCTTTGCCTCTTCTTCTCAAAAACAATCCCATATTTTCAAAATCTAAAAAACAATCCCACATTTAACCCTCATTTGCTCAAAATAACCCCTTAACTGGTTTGTAAAATTCATAACCACTTTTAGAAGGTGACTACCACGTGTCACCTTCTGATTGGCTTTGTTAATTAACTTTTTTTTAAAAATAAAGGAGTAAAAAAACAAATGAATACTAATCTAATTCATTTTTTAATCATTACTTGTATACTAATCGGTAAACTTTTGCAAACCTTAGAGGTACATGGTTCGTTTTATTTAAATTGAGTACAAAAACCTCAATGCGTACACAAAAAAAATATCCTAAACACAATCCTTCCCTATTCCTTCTGTATGTAATCTTTTTTTTTTTTTTTTTTTTGTGTGAAAGACTTCTGTATGTAATCTTGGTTCAACTAAATAAATTTTTTTCTAATTTTTTTACATTCGAAACCTTCCTTGACAGTTAAAACTTTTCTAGGGACATATTGCAACCCTAATAAGTTAATCGCTTTATCACTTGCAATGTTGCAAAGATAAATCTACAAATCCTAAGCACCATTCTTCTCACGAAGGATCAAGCAAAACAAGCTAAAACGTTTGCATCTACATCAATGTGGGATATCGAGCTGTGTTATTGATGGGGAATCCCAATGACTCATAATAATCTTTTTCAGCTACAGCAACACGATCTTGGAACATTGTCCATTCTCTTCTGCACCTTTCCTTAACCTGGCACATGAGAGGTAAAACTAATGTACTTGTATCGACTTTTAACACAAAACAAATATATGAATCTTCATGCACTAGCGTTCATGTGCATTCAGCATGCCTTGAAGTGAGATGCTTGCATGAGACTGTAGAGTAAAAAGACAACAAGAACTTACCCCTACCCATGGTGCCTTTCCATTATTGCCTTCACCCTGTCCAAAATAGCATAAAGGAAACAATTAATGATTAATGCAACAAGATAATTCAAACAAGGCAAAAAAGAAGCCTACAACTTGCCTGGTTACCGAGAGATGGAATCCCTTGATGCACTATCCACTGCGAATCTATGACTCCAATCTTCTTGTGAGCCGGCTGGAGAGAAAGATATAGGATCAAATGACGAAATTGAATTAATGTAGTATGGGAAAAAAAGATGCGAAAATAATCAGAAGACCTCAACACACTTCCGCAAAGCAAAGTCAAGGCCCCATCCATGCACCAAGTCATTCTGAAAGTACACCACAATAAATTTATGATCATAGAAAATAGAAAATAAAAATCCGCAGATTACTAAACAGATACCTGAATCATATTCCAAACACAGCGCCAAGCATTTCTGGTAAAAACAGGTGCCATGATTTCAATGAACCTGGTCATAAGAGAATCAGGGTCTTGTAAAAATTAAGAACCAGTAATAATCCGAATAAAGCCAAGAATATATAACTATATTATATTACATACGCAGCACAAGGTGGCAACACAGGATCAGGGCACCATCCAGGCTTTTCTTCAGTCACTCTGTATATGCAGCACATAGAGTATAAGCCACTAAGTCAACAAAATAATCTTAACATATAATAGATGGCCAGGAGAAGGATAAGTTTAAACAATTCTTACTTGTGAACCTCACTGTCACCTCTTCTCTTCGTCATTTGCCATGTTAGGCCTTTGTCAGGCTCTAACCCAGGCTGTGAAATCTCCAATCCATACTTCTTTGCCAATTCAATGTATCTACAGCATAGCGAATGGCAACTTACAGATATAGTCCACCTAAATAGCATATAATTGAGTAAAATAATATTGTCAAAGAGCTCACTTCTCAGCATCAAAGTGTTCGACCCCAAGGTCTTCATCCCAAATAAATATGTAATCGTAAGCAGCTACCACATCTGGATGCAGAAACCTTTTAGCATACCACCTACAACAGCAAAAAAGGGAAGGAATAAAAAGATAATAAATAAGAAATGTTATAAAAGTATAGCTTATAGAAGGTAAGTCTTTGGGTTTACTGATGTTAGTAGATTACATTCAATGAAAGGGACCAATTAATTATAAGCCTTCAATCATTCCCTTTCTCTCCTCTACTTGAATGGGATATACCCAACCTCATTCCCCTAGCTAGGACTCCAAAATTTTCAAATCCCAAAAGACCAGCCATGCTAACAGATACAGCTAGTAATAATGAAGGGAAATAATACAGCTGTCATAGCAATATAACCATCGTATCTTTCAATTATGATTTCTCAGCAAAGGCAAAGGTAAGCATATTATTGCTTCAAACAGGTCTAGTTTTCAGGAGGAAGGTGAGCATGATAAAGGTTCTATTATAATGGTTAAAAATACTTCTCATAGGAGGTAAAAGGTAAGCATATTTCAGCATTTAAAAATACAAAGTTCAAAAGCCAGTATATAAGAAGGTATCATCAATTGATTTTAAAATGACACCATTTGCACAGTAAGTTAGCAACATACTCAATGTACCGAGGTGGACAACTGAGAAAAGGCATACCTTAAAATAGTATAATCCGTAATTCCCCTTAGAAAAATAGAATATATCAGTCATTACAACAAAAGCACAGTTTCAATCACAATTGTAGAATTGCTTCTGATGAATCACTAAATAGCACCCTATACTTCTTGAAATGGTCAGTGTCAAAAGTAAAATGCTTACCATTTAGTTTGCTTGCGAGTGCTGACATGGATAGCTCGCTTTGACCACTCAAACTCATCCCATTCAGTTGTCCTCCCATCATAATGAAAGAGGATAATAGTAAAGTTCTCTGAAAACTGCAGTACCATATTTAGCGCAGGAGATGGGTATAAGAGGTATAGTAGGTTAGATTAACGCTTTGTTTGAATAGCGAAAGACAAGAGAAAGGAAGGGGAGGGAAAGACAAGTGGAGGAAAAAGGCGAGTTCCATTTTCCTTCCAAATCTATCCAATTTTGGAGGGATTATGCTTATTATAGAGGGAGGGTAAATGGACCTCTCCCTCCCCTTCCTCTTCCTTCCCCGAATCCTTTATCCAAATAAGGGAGATGGTCCATCTCTTTTTCTCTTCCCTCCCTTCCTTTCCTCCCATTTCCTTCTATCCAAACAAAGTGTGAAAGAGTAGCCTAACCTTCTTCATGCATGCATCTACATTGGCTCTTTGATCATAGCCAACGGTAAAAGTAACAAGATATTTAGGTTTACTCGTCAGGTCCTGCAAAATTTCTTCAGTCAATGGATGTCTCAAAAAGCATAACAGACCAATGATTTAATTATTAATTGTTGTGACAGTTCCTTCAGGAAATTAGGAAGCCAGGACAACTAAATAATCATTCAAAAGGAGTGGATCTATTGAAAAATTATCAGAACATCAATTAGTCGCTACCAATGTTGGAGTTTATGCATGCGACCAAATCCATGAAGTGCATTAGAAAATGAGAAATGACAAGGATTCCCAAGCAAGGGCATGCCTGTACTTAAATCCACTACAAATGAAGCTGAAATAAATAAAAGGAAAAATTGCAAAAAATAATATAACCTTTGGCCCGTTCTTTTTTAATAATACAACCTTTAGATTATACATTAACATTACAACCTTTGGGGCTTGTTCATTTTAAATAGGCTTTATACTTGTAACCAGATGAACAGGTTACCTTTGACACGTGTCATTATATAATTTGTCTAAACATTAATTTTTTTATTTAAAAAAATAAGTTTTGATTAATTTTATTTTTAAAAAATAAATAAAACCCCCAGCCCCCTTTCATGTTCAGCCCTTGCCCAGTTGCCCCGCAAGTCGCCGGTGACCAGACCACGTTCCTCACCCCGAGCCAATCTCCGACCATCCCCGACCCTTACTCTCCTCCAAGACCCTACTCGTTGGTGTCTTCTTTGTTATGGTTGCTCTGTTCTTTAATTAGCTTTGCGCATTATGCCCATCATCACCATCAATCATGAATCTCAACAAAATCAACGGTGGAGAGCGAAAATGTTGAAATTGGTGGCAAATTGCTTATTGGGGGCGGCGGATTGGTGGTAATTGGAGGCGTTGGTTGTGATTTGATGCACAATTAGGGTATTGGTGATGCGGTGGGGCTTGCATGTTGGTGCAAGGAGAGGGACGGCAGCAAGGTTGTAGTTTGTAGTTCGCTGTTGTTTGTGAAGGGGAAGGGAGCTCTGGTTAGGTGGGGTGGGGAGTTCAGGCTCGTTGGTGGGGTTTGTGTGAGTTTTTGGTGGTGGGGGTTCGCTGCGGTGATCGGGAAAGGGTGGAATCAGGGCTGCAGAAGGGTTTGGTGGAATAGGGACTGGTGGAATAGGTACTGGTTGGTGCCTTGATGGGGTGTATGGGACTTTCGACCTGGTGGTAGGGGTTGGCAGCAGTGGTCAGGAAGGGGAGGAGGTGGTTATGGTGGTGAGGATGGAAACCGGAGTGGTGAAGCGGTGGTGGGAATAGGTGGATCACTGGTGGTGTTTGGGGGAAGAAGAGAAAAAAAAAAAGTAAAAATAAATTTTTTATTTAAGTCAATCGTATAATCCAAAGGTTGTATTATTAATGTAAAAAGTTATAATATTAATGTATAATCCAAAGGTTGTATTATTAAAAAAGAACGGGCCAAAGGTTGTATTATATTTTGCAATTTTTCCTAAATAAAATACCATGAAATCATTAGTCTAGGATAATACTCCAAATTGTCTTCTGCTGACTTAGGACCATTAATGGATTACAACATACAAATGATGATATGTTGATGTTTCCAATAGTACGACTTTTCAGTCTTCATGGGCAACATATACAAGCTATATGATTCATTATATTAAGGAAATTTGTCAGATACCACCTTTTATAGATGACTTTTTGTGAGAAATAAAATCACCTTATAAATATAATTGGCAAGAACCCCATTTATATAAAAACAAATAATAGACAATTCACATTAAACTATTGCTCAAATTCCAACCAATTCTACTTTCAACCTTTGACCACGCCCATGGGAAGCACTTGACAGAACTTCCATCCATTTTCATCCTTTATTTTGCCTTCTCCCTCCATATTTCAGTCACCTATGCAACTCTTTATTCTTCAATAATTTCGCACAAGAATTTTTGGGTTTTATTTAAAAAAATCTCTTAACCTAAATGCTGCACTAAACTCTAATTAACAATTGTAAAAATCTTGAAATTTGAAAACCCTTAACCTCCAAAAAAAAAAAAAGTGAAAATATGTGATTTGAGAGATAATATTCTATAAGGAGATGAAGAAGATTGAAGTTAGTTTAAAGAGATGGAAAAATAAAAAGGTGGTGGTCGAACAACAAATGCAAGCAACGAGGCAACAACCCAACCCATAAGATTTAACAAAAAAGTAACTAAAATAGAATATGATACATTTTCTAGGTTGTATTTTGATTCGAGGTTTAAGAATGCCGTTGCTTTTGATCGTAATCATGATATGTAAACTGGGTGATACTTGATGGACTAGCTCAATTAAAGTTGGACCATTTATAGAATTTGTCCTTTATTAATTTTAGTTTTGTTGCCAAACTTTGGCTGTTGTTGGCGACAATCATAGGTTATGTGAGTACCCTTTGGGAAGTAATATGGAGGGAATAAGGCTATGTTCAGTTCACATGATCTAATTTGATTTATCTGATTTCATTTCCAAATTTGACCAAATTTTGACTTAATTGTACACTAATCTTTAGGGAAAAATATATATATATATATATATATATATATATATATATATAATGAGATGTCATTAGATTTATATTAACATGTATTTTCCAAATATGAAATTTTCATAATTTTTTAAATCACCGAAAATAAAGATATTCAACAATAGATAATCGCAAATAAGAAGATGACTTCTATTTCAGAGAGAGAGCTAACGAAATATAGCAAGCATGAATTTTCGCTAGCCATCAAGAAAACTCAAGCGGTCAAGCCCTTCCTCAGCTTGGAAAAAGCCAGCTGAAGCTTGTGCTAAACTTAATCAACTAGTTTAATCTAATTATTTCTGAAATTAGTTGACATCAACTTAAATAGGTTGAACTGAAAATAGACTAATTTCATTGAAGGGAAAACAACTCAGAAAGGAGTTTAAATTTGGATGACCATATACATTGTCATGACTGGAAAATGTCGCCATTGGGAGTTAGAGAGAGGAGAGGAGAAAATTTGTGAGGTAAGACCATAAGAGGAGGAGGTGATGTAGGCGCAGAGTTTGAGGAAACCACCTGGCTAAGGAGAGTGGGATGGGAATTGAAAAGCAGTCAACATCGGGGAATACAAACAAAGGACTAGTTCAAAAAAAAAAAAAAGTACATGGGTTTCTTCTTGCCATTCTTTTTATAAGGTGGTTTCTCACATAAAATGTGGTTTTTGACAAATTTTCTAATATTGACTAACCATTTCTCAAGGAAACGCTTCCACTCAATCAACACATGTAAGTGCTTAACATCACAATAAACAAAAAACAAATTTTCATACGGACCACATACACCAATCACATCAGTTCTGATTACTCGATGACTCAAATACACCATGCTCAACCCCAATAGTGCCTTTTTTAACACACATTAATCAAAAAATATTATAAGAAAAGATAGCTTTTAATCATGTATTTTTATACACGTAATTACCTGGGAATTATACTTCTACCAAAATGTGTAACTCCACAAGATAGAAGACAAACCTCCTCAGGCAGACCCCAGAGCCTACGTTGATAGAAATCAGTCTCAGAAACCACAATTCCTGGGGGTAGTCTTTCAGCACCTCGTGGATTTGTCGGCAACCAAACCTGCAATCTCATGACAATTAGATAATAGCATCAGCATACAGCCAGGGCTGTACTTGAATATAATTGTTTAGCAATTGAGAACTTCCACATTAAGGCAAATGATGCAGCCAGTTTACAGCCTAATTTACTTGGTCTTGGATACTATTTCCGTGCAAAAGCACTGTCCACAAGCCAAACTAAGCCATTCTATGAAAATTTTGCAATTTTCTGTCCAAAATGAGTACTTGAGGTGAATCATACAGCCTAGGTAATACAGCCATATTAGCCAACACCACAGAAAAAAATGGTGGACTAAACTACATAGAACAATAGCATAACAATATTGATAAAAAAAAAAATATGGTCTTTCACACTTCCAAGAGCAGCCATACTTATGCAAACCTCTAGACCCAATACAGCTGACAAAATAGTTGCAGTGTTTAAAAGGTTCCTTTAACAATAGCAAGTAGTAGATTGCTGTTCTAGCTGGCAAATAAGAAAAGGAAGAAGTTTTTCACCAACTCTAACTGTGCAGACAACACTTTGGATGAAATTTTGGAGGGAATTCTGAACAAAGTTAGAGGTGTTTATAATTAATATTTCCACCATCTTTTTTAAAACACACCATTTTCCTTTTTAGGAAGTTGCATATTAATTTCACTATTTCTAATTTGTTTATGCTTTCATACACCTTTTGTTTGTGTTCACAGTCTTCACACACCAAATATCCATCCTACCTTTAGTTTTGATATTTACCCTTGTTGCTTCACTTTAACTCTCTTTCCTTTGCTTGTAATCCCATGGACATTTTTGTTATTTAATTCCTATTGTAATCTTTGTGCCCAACAAAAATAGTGCAATTAAAAATTAAAAACCAAAGGACGTACATCATATACAACTAGCATTTGGGGCAGCTAAATTATCTAAAGGACATTGTGGTTGAAAGGCTATTAAATAAAATACCAGGACCTGGAACTAATAGATTTATTTCAGATAGTTGTTTAGCAGCTTGATAGAATCTATCCTTTTCCCTATTTTATTTCATAATTTCACGTGTAGTACTTATCAATTTCTTTAATGCTTGAGGTATGGTAATAATGAGATTATTATACAGCAAGTTCCTGTCAATCTGAGGAAAGCCTAGAGGTGATAAGCAACCAGACAAACAACTATGTCAATAAGGCACTAATATCATAGTAATGGATAGTTGTATCCTAATGCATATGAATCTTATGTTTTTAAATCCTTAAGCAGTGTTACAAGGTTCGCAGTACGTAGCCACGAATCGCGAACTGAGTCGCGCGTATCGGAACGCGGAACAAACGTGACTTGAGTCGCTGCGGTTCGCGATCAGGATCGCTGAAGGAGGCGACTCTGGTAGCAACTAGGCGACTCTGAAGGGGTTCAATGGTTTTTTCTGATATTTCCTTTGCGTTTCTCTCTCTTCTGATTTTATACTTATCTAAGTAGTTTTTTCTTTCTCCTCTCTCCTCTTTTACACGGTAGTACTATTAAGCCGGTAAAGTAAGTCTATAGTGATGTCTTTATTTATATCTATTATTTATTTATTTGTACTACATAGGGTGGCAGCTAGGGTCAAATTCCAAGTGGGCTTTTTATTATATATATATATATATATATATATATATATATATATATATATATATATATATATATATATATATTATATTATTTTCCAAATCAAATTCTTATTAATAAAAATCACCCATATATTTTATTATTTTATTTATTTCGTACCCAATTGTACCGGGTTCATCATGGGTAGCGTACCGCGTATCCGTTTCCGTACCACGTTTCGAATCGAATCGCGTACCTTGTAACATTGTCTTTAAGCAATTTCTCTAACATATGTTACATCAAAGATAGGTTAAAAGAATGATATGATATAAACTTAGAATATCCACTGTTGAAATGGGATCCTAGGAGGCTCATCAGGGATCATATCATAGGATAGTGTTCAATGCTAGTATCACTTTGATTATAGGATTAACTAATGATATCATAGGATGGTGCTCATGCTATTATCACATTGTTTATAGGTTTAACCACTCATATTATAGGGTGGACCTCAATGCTAGTATCATTTTGATTACTGGCTTAACCACTCACATCGTTCTAATCATATCATAGACAGTAGCTTAAATTATCATGATTAGGTAACCGGTCATACAACAACCATCAAAAACACTAAACACAGCACAACAATAAACAACCACTAAAAAATACTTTATCTAAAATCTCTTCCAACCTTCCTCAATTTAGAACATTAGTGATCAATTTGTCTATTTAGGTCTGATTAGGCTGGTGGTTGTGGTGGTAAAAAAAGATTTTTTTTTATGTTTTTTTTCTTTGGTGTTGCATTTAACCAAAGACAAGTGGTTCCACGGTAGCAACTGAGAGAGTCAAGGTCGAAGATAACAACGGTGAAGGGGTGTCCTGGTGGTTGGCTGGTTGTGGTGACAAAAAGGGGGAAATGGAGGGGGAAGCGATGCCACTCACAATGGAGATGGAAGGGGTAATAAGTGGAGAGGGGCATTGCAGAAGTGGAAAGGAAGAGGATGGGAAAGAGGAGGAATAGTGAACTAGTGATGATAGTACCGAGGAGGAGGTGACGGTATTAACAAGGTTTTTATAATTATTGCTGTATTTACAATAATTTTGGTTCCGGGAAAGCCGGGGGGGGGGGGGGGGCTTTACCCCTGCATTGGGAGTTTGATATCTGGACCCTAATAGATTAGTTTTAAGATTTTGTGAATATTTTTAGCAACAATAATAAATCTAGGGGCTCCATTCTTCAGAACTGGAAGCAAAGTCATCACTCTCTAAAGCTGGTAGAGTGACGTTTACATCAATAGTTAATTAGTGACACTCCTAGAATTGTAGCAATAGGGCATATGTCCTGACATATCATGATAAATACATACCGCTGTGTCATTCTGATCATGTGATGGGCCAACCTTTCTCCCTTTTAAAGTAGACCAAACATTCAACAGGGCTTGTGTTGAAAGGCCAGAATATTTATCTTCAATGTAAGTCAGATCAATTGAGGGAAAAAGAGGAGCAGGAAGGTTCATCTGTTACAAATAAAGTTAACAGTCTTAACACTATATAAATAAAAGGTTGTTACAAAAGTATATGGAAGTTGAAACCTGAATAAAGAATAAAATATTCAGGTAGATCACCACATGCCTTTGTCAAGGAGAGTGTAGGAAAAGATACTCCTAAGAAGAAACCAAAGACAATCCCCACAAAAGTAGTTAAAATAAGCCTCATCACACTGTTTAATTGTCTTAGGTTCCCACTGCAAATGAAGAACAGAGAAAAAATCAATTAACAATAGATAATTATACAAATGCTTACTGATGAAATTTTTCAGTGTAAGAGATAAACCTGCGGAAAATAGTTTTCATTTTTTTTTTTTTGTTTCCTAAATAAGCAGTCAAGCCTATAGAGTTGCAACTGCAGAAGCCCTATCCTCACAGCTATGTTCAATCAACATGCTCAGGCCGTAACTGCAAACCGATGGAAGAAGCCTATTATACTCAGATACAATAGCAAACATAATGGAATAGGAATGAAGCACAGCTAAAATTGATATCTTTTACCCCTCACTGCCACAATAAGTCAATAATTATACTAATCAATTACAAAAATTGTATCTCAATCAGATATTTTGTCAGAGGGAAACAAATTTTTTCTGTAACTCCTCAATGCATGCCCTTACCTCTGATGCTATTTTTCAGCTATTCCATCAGAAAATAAATAATATTTATCACATAGAAGATAAAGTGAATTAATGATCAAGTTAAATGAATGCAAAGAAAATTTCAAATCCCATAAATTATTCATAATTGGAAACTTTCCAAACTTTAAAACAAGAAAAAGGAACACTCCAGCAAGCCAAAATATCAACATTAATAATAAGGGAAGATACATGATGCTGATGAGTGCAATTGTAAATTGAAACGAGAACACATTGTTATGCAACTCAAAGTTGTGCAAAGGAACAAATGCCTAGTAAAAACAATCCTCTATTATAAATTCTTTAAAAGTAGCAGTGTCATTCAATTATTGTCCACCTTTTTATTGTAGGATCGTGCGACACATAGTAGTCTTTTAGCAAAATGAGTGTCATTTATATACAAGATTCACGAGGCTACGAGACTCTAATGGACACAAGACCTAGAATAAGAAAGACATTGGATGGGAGCATTTAACTAGAGATTAGAGAGCATTGAGAGTTAAATACCTCTCAACGAAAAATTAAAATTATAAAAGTGTGTGCATTGAATAATCCCTCAACCCAATCTTGATCAAAACCTAGTTATTCCTAAGTAATGAACTCCAACCAAGTTAAGAAGGCTATTGACAATGGATACCAAAACCACACATTTTCATCAAACTGTTGAAAAAAAAAACATCTCAGGTTTTTTCGGGTTTAATTGCAACATTCATCTATTCTTTTATAATTAAAATAATCAATTCATAAGATGATTTCAATGTTTTTCCACATTTATCAATGAAATCAATTCTCATATGAAAAGAATAGCAATAGCAAAACCCATCGCAAATACAAATGCATCCCTCCCCACGCCGGAGAAGGGGCCGCCTGTGCCCAGGGAGAAAAAAAATTAATTTTCATACTTCCATCCTAACATTTAAGAAATATAAACATAAGCATGTAAAATATTAGCAACCAGATTTGATTCAACTATTAAATTAGGCTCCGAAAATCACATAAAATTCACCTAGCTTCAGAATACCAACATAAATAGCAAATAGAAAAATCATAGCAACAAAATCGTTCGTTATAATATTTTATAAATTCAACCATTATGATCAATCTTTCAATAGTCTGCCTTTAGTAGAACCCTAAATTGACAATACTAACAAATTATAGAGACAGTGTGAAAACAAATTCTTGGTTGTGACAATTGATATTCGATGATTAAATAAAAATATTACCTTTGAAGCTGTTTTAATGGAGGAGAGAGCTCAGAAGCTGAGTCAATGGACAAATCAGTGCAAGCTTTAATGGAGGAGAGAGAGAGAGAGAGGGGTGCAGCATAAAAGTGAAACTTTCCAAAGTGAAAAAAATGAAATCAAACAAAAAAAAAAAACTTGTTTTGGTTGTAGGATAAAAATGAATTACTCTTCTTTTGATGATGTTTATTGCATAGGGAATCAATTGTATAAAATAAATAAATAAAAAAATTGGAATCTGACATTAAAGTACAAAATAATTCATACAAAAACTTTTGCATCAAACCGATTTATAATAATTTATTGTAAAACGGCGCCGCCACACGTGCGGTTTTTTTTTAAAAAAAAATTCGTAAAACATGCGAAAAGTGAGAAAAATGGAGGAGAGAGAGAAACTGAGAAAATGTAGAAAAAAAACACAACAATGGAGGAGAGAGAAAACGCACCAATGGAAGAGAGAGAAAACGCAACAATGGAGGAGAGAGAAAAATTGATTACCTTAAGGATTCGATCGATTCGATCATCAATGGAGGATTCATCAGCAAACTTCAATTCATCAAATTGTAGTAATTTGATCCACGATTTTCTACAACAACAAAGGCAAATTCAAACCCCATTGTTAGGTGATTTCGACCTAAATCGCACAATAATAGAAGATGAAACAAAGAATTTGGTAGAAGATAGCATCGAAACTACTCGAAATGATGATGAACACAAAGAAGCAATTGTTTGAACAAGGATAGAGAAAGTATAAACACGAATCAGGACAATGCAGAAGAAAATCAAGTGGTACCTCGTAAGTCAATTAATTCAAATTCAGCACAAACATCCAAATCAAATCAAATTTGAAGGTAATTTCCATACAATCAACCTTGGAATGAAACTGAATTTTGAAGTTAATGTGCTGAATTTTGTTACTCTTTATGTGAACGAATGTTACCCTTTTATGCATTAATGCATAAAGGTGACCCTTTTATGCATTAATGTGTAAAGGTAACCCTTTTAATGCATAAAAAAACTGAAGGGAAATTCTCAATGGTAGCCACGTACTATTGCTTCTTTCCAATGGTAGCCAATTTTTTTTCGATTCTCAATGGTAGCCTTCAACTTTTTTAAAGATTCAACCATAACCGCATTTACTAAATAATGTTAAGTAACTGTTAAGTTAACTAGAGTTTAACAAAATAATTGTTAAATTTAACTACAGTTAAACATTTTTTCTTTCCTTCCCTTCATCTTCATGGCTGCCACCCATCCCCATTTTCTTCATCTTCTTCCTCCCTTCATGGCTGCCATCCCTAACTCTTTCCTCCGTTCTAGCCCACCGGCACCGGCCAACCCCCACCCACTGCCACTTCCCCCCGACATCCCATGTCCCCCTTTCAAACACATCACCCCTTCACCCACACCCCCAAATGCACTCGCGATGGTTCCGTTCAAACTTGGGGACATTAATGGCAGAAACTCACACGCCACCACAATCATCATCTCGACGAATATTCAGAAAAATTTGATCGTCTAAAAGAAGGTAATCGTTCGATAGCAACCCAAATAAGGTCGTCTTCGTCTTTAGCATTCGATTCGGAGTTGGAAATTAGGGCTTGATTGAGTTGAAGTTTGATGAAATTGGGGAAATTGATTAAGGATTTCTACAATTTGCAAATGCATTGGAAGCGTAGAAGTGATTTAACGGGTTAGCGTGAGACAATTTGGGCGGTTACTTCAGTCATGAGTATCGCCATTGTTGACTTAGCTCGAGCTTGAAAATCAGAGTGGGTGGGGGAAGAAGATGATTGGGGTCGGGTCTTGGTTAAGGGCTGGGGTAAAATTGGCGGTGGAGGAGATTGGGGAAAGGGTTGGTGGCTGGTGTGGAGGGTTGTTTTATTTTTTATTTATTTTATGTTTGTATTATTTTTACTTGTATTTTATTTATTTTTATTTTAAAAAAAGTTAACCTTGGTTTGAAATAAGGTTAGATTTAACATAAATGTAACGGAAGTTTATAAATGAGGTTACAATTGAAACTTTTAAAAAGTTGGAGGCTACCACTGAGAATCGAAAAAAAAATTGGCTACCATTGAGAATAAGCAATAATACGTGGTTACGATTGAGAATTTCCCAAAACTGAATTGAACCTTTTACCTGCATGAAATAACTCTTTTTACCTACTTCAAGTGTTTGTCCCTTTTATGTAATTATTATGCATAAAGGTGACCCTTTTTATGCATAAAGGTCACCCTTATTATGATAAAATGTAACCCTTTTTATACATAAAGTTGACCTATATTATGCATAAAAGTGATCCTTATTATACATAAACGTAACCCTTTTTATGCATAAAGGTGATCCTTTTTATACATAAAAGTAACCCTTTTTATGCATAACGGTGACCCATGTAAAACATAGTATTTCTTTAAGGATAATTTGTCAATTATTACTGCAAGTTAATACCACTTTGTAAATTACTACCGCAAAAAATTTTAAGATGTTGCGATTACTACCAAACCCCCATTAAACCCAACTATGACGTCATTTTATCCCTTTAACCCGTGTTTGACCATGGTTAAGGGCTTTAACCAGCCCCCCCCCCCCCAAAAAAAAAAGAAATGTTTTAGGGATATAATGACGTCATGGTTAAGGGCTTTAACCATGGGTTAAAGTGATATAATGACGTCATAGTTGGGTTTAATGGGGGTTTGGTAGTAATCGCAACATCTTAAAATTTTTGCGGTAGTAATTCACAACTTTTTTAATTTGCGGTAGTAATTTACAAAGTAGTATTAACTTGCGGTAGTAACTGCAAATTTTCCTTTCTTTAAACATAATAATATGCTGCTACTGCTTATCTGATATGACAGTATTAAATCATAGAAGAAAATCCAATTGATGCTTCTAGTTTAGATCTTAGAGGATCATTTGTTGGTGTGGTAAGACAAACTTTTGAAGAAATCTTGGAATTGTATGAAAAGCATGCAGCTATATGTAACACCTTCAAATCCCCCTATACGACAATACTAGTATAATACGTATAATTATGTCGTAGAGATAGACTTGGGCATATTACCGCCGCGTGATTATGCAAGGTTACTCAAAATACTTAACTTAACAACAAAACTTGCAGCGGAAACTCAACTTTCTTTTATTAATACTTATAAAAATAGTAACATTGTTATGAGTACTCAAAATAAAGACAAGATCAACATTCCTAAACTAGGTGAAGCAAATCCCGGGACTCCCATATGCTCATTCATGACTCCACATGAAAATAGTCAACACTCCTTACCATTACGGTAAACAGGGCGAACCAAAACAAATAAGAAATACGGATTAGCAAATTATGCTAAGTACAATAAGTGCAATATATATAGTGTAAACTCAATTTATTTGCAAACATATTTTTAAAACCAATTCCAATAATTAATCCAATAAGTTTAAAACTCATTATTCCAAAACCGATTCCAATGATTCATATTCAAAATAGTAGTTAATAAAACCAATTCCTTTATTAAGAACCAATTCCTTTTAATCCAATTCCACACCCAAGTGTGAACACCCCCCAAGCTAGTCTCCTTATGTTACAAGGCTATTCTTGAGGAAAGACCGGGGTCATACAAAGTCCAAGGCCTTATCAATAAACCAAATCCACATAGTGGAATTACTAACATGCTTATAAAGCATTAATAATAATAATTCAATGGTTCAATAAATCCTTTTAATTAATATCCAATAGTTCCAATATAATTAAAAATCCTTTTTAATTAGTTACACATGCTTTAAAAATCAAACCTTGTAAACAAATACTTGAGAATAAAATCTCATATTAATAACTTTTCAAAATCAACAACTCTTCCTTGAAAAAGCTTTATTTAATTCAACAACCTTTTAAAATCAATTCCTTTATGCAAACATGATAAGTAATCCAAACCATTCAAAACATGATTTAAAAATCAATCATTCAAAATAATTTTATTAAAATCAATAATTTCAAACCTAATTTATTTCAAAATCATAATTCAAATCAATTTAAGTCAATCACCAATCAAATCATGTAAAACATGTTATTCAAACCAATCACTTTCAAAGGTATCTAGTCATCTAAACGTACCTTGATCCTTGCTAGAAAAACCACACAAAAAGAACCTCAAGAACCTTGATCAACACTTCGCACTTTCAAAGTTCAATCACGAATACACCTTGCAAATAACATAACCATAAGGTTATCACAACATAAACTCAAATCTAATGTGCATGGACTATAAAACTCTTTTAAAAAATAATTTTATATAATTATTGCTTTTAAATAGGTATTTTTATTTTGGAAAACTAACAATAAAGAAGATAAAAGAATAGGTTTAAAGAGAATTGAATGTTCGTTAGAAAGAATAAGCAGAACTTGCAGAGGCCATAACTCCTTAACTCCGAATTGGGTGCTTTTGAGCCTAAACTCAAGGACTTTTCGAGAGGAACAATCTTTTTAGAAACATCAATACCCCAAAAACTGAAGTGCCAGAAAACTGGCCTCAAAGATAAACGGGATAATATTTGTATGAAAAGAGGAGAAGAAAAGTATAAAAATGTTTAGGGAAAAGAAGAAGACAGAAGAAGAGAATTAGGTTTTTGGTGTGAAGAATATGAGACGTATGAAGGGTTATTTATAGGCTAGCTCATGCAAGAATTATGGCAAGAGAATTTGGGTAGAATTATGGTAAGTAGGGTTTAAGGGATTACTTGGAGAAGTGAGTAAAAGAATTAAGGAAAGTTTGGATATTAAAGTGATTGTGTATAATTGAATATGGAAGGTATGTATGTCATGAAAAATAATAAGGAAATTAGAATTACTTGGGGAATAATTAAGAAGAATGAATGGCAAGAAAATATGATGATTGGATATTAAAAAGATGGAGAATTAGAATTAAGGAAAATAGGAGATTTTGGGAGATAATTAAAAATATAATTTTACCAATTAAATTCCCCCAAAATATTTCATGAGGGCCAAAAATATGGATCTTACCATAGCTCTAATTTTCGGAGTCTTCTAGATATATTTAGGAATATTTTGCTCGGTTTTTAAGGAATAAAATAATTGTATAAATAAAATAGAATAATAATTAATTAATTAATTA